TAACATTCTAGAATATCTTTTAAAATTAATAAGAGCATTTTAGGTTGTTTTCTTGAACCCTTCTTGTTCTGATATGATTACTTGGAACAACACTTCCTAAATAATATTACTGTCTAAGGATAACCAGTTAATAATTTTCTTTTGATGTTACTGAATGAGAAGACAGTAAAAGCAAATGGACGGAAATTGTCTTAAAAAAATATAAGCAATGTAATTATAATACTGAAAAAGAAAAAGGGAAAATAACGTACTCTACCATCAAAAATAATAATTTAATCATTACTACAGCACTTCCCTGAATTAATTCTTGTTTCAACCGTGACTTGCATTCTAGAAAAATGTCAGGCCCAGTGATGAAGATGCCATGATTTTTCTGTTGTTTAGTCTCTGAATAGTTCCTCCATTATAAATTTACATGTATTTCAGTAAATGCTCTAGCTGTGAGGTGATCTGTATTGTTTTGCCACCACCCAAATATTTCAGTTTTGAAAGACTGTGGTCTTGTTTCATATTTGTTGTACCAGCATCAGTGAATGACTGTGTTCTAGGGTTACCTCAAGGAGTTTGAGCCTCTCTAAGGTCTTACATGGAGTTTAGAGATGGAGGAGTGAATACTCCAAATTGTAGGGAATTTAGAGTTTAGACTGGAGTAGGGGTAAATTTGGAAATGCATAGAATGCAAAGTTTTCCAGCACTTCGTGATTGAAATACAGCATCAAATGAATCTTAGCATCTTCTGAGATTTGTCATCATCGGATGAAAATAGCTGAATTTGTTTTAAATATATGCAGCCTTTTTTTTTTCCCTAAATCACAGTGGAATAACATACTATGCCTTTCTAGGTCTTATTTGTCTATATATAATATATTTTTTATTTTTAGAGACTTGGTATGCTTAAATAAATACAGGCATCTGTGGTTTATATACTTGCGTGCAGAAGCCTAGAAGTACAGAGAGGCTTATATCTGTATGTAGAGAAGGAGGAATGGTTTTGGACTTGTGCATAGCAAGTATGGTCATATGGTCACTTACACCAAAGTCACAATTACTGTTTATTTCTGTCATCAGTTCTCTTTTCTTTTGCCAAAGTGAAGTGAAATACAGAACCTCTCTGTTTTGAATAAATTTAGTTTGTAAATTCAGAAGGCCCTTAATTACTTTCAGAAAAACACCTTCAGTACATGGCACTCAAAAACAATTTTATCCATTTAACCTAAAATATTTGGCTAAATTTCCAGCTGATTTTATTTCTTATTAACTGAGTATTATTTTGATCTAAAAGACAAAAGAAAAATTTTCTCTCTCTCTATATATATATATTAGAAAGTTGAAGCGTGGAATATATGTTATTAAGATGGTAACAGCAGAAAATAACCTCCATGTCTCTGGAGGCCACACTGCTTTGATGCAACCCAGGACACAGCTGGCTTTCTGGGCTTAGAGTGCACACTGATGGGTCATATTCATGTTCTCATCCATGAGCACCTCCCAGTCCTTCTCAGTAGGGCTGTTCTCAAACATTTCCTCCCTTGTCTTTTAAGATTAATCATTTTCAGATAACAGGGTTTGCTAACTTAAGTGTAAGAACTTTGGTGAGAATATAATGCTTTCTGGTTTATTAGTGTTAATTTTAATAAAAGTTAGAAAGCTAGAAGAATTCAAAGAACTGAACTATTGTTTCATCGTGATAGGTATGATACAGAGAAATGAAGGAAAGTTAGCCTTCCTTCTCTCCTAACCAGGTGTAAGAGAATGGTTTTGTAAATTCTTCAGAAGAAAAAGAAATTACCAAAGTTAAAATTAATGCAAGTTAGTGTGATTTTGTAGGTAGCAGATAACTGGAGGCAGGAAAGTGCATGATACAAGTTCAGAAAGTGTTGGTTTAGAGAAATAACTGAACTTCTGCAATGTTTATAGCACAGGTAGTTTTGTATCAATCATTTATTTGAAAGCCAGTGACATTCTTATTTTTATTTTTCAGAAATCCTCATGAGAAATTAATAGAGTACATGTCAACAGAATATTACGAATAATTCGAATTTAATACCTAAGTTGGCACAATACAATAAAAATATCCTTGTAATATAACTAAATGCTATGTTTTATAGCTGAAAATCAAAAATGCAGATTGTAGCTGCAGGACAGTACAACAGCTGAATGACATTTTGGAAAGCAATTACCAAGAAGAGGTGAATTGAGAGTCATTGTAGAAAATGAATGCTCGGTGCAGTGTTGGCCTTATGCTGCTATTTGAGTTAGGAACAGAGTGCACCACCAGCAGAGAGTTGCAAGAAAGCTGAAACCCCTCGGTATATCTGATTCCGAATTGCATCTTGAGAAGGACTAAGGAAATACTGCTGAGAGTTCTGGATTAGACAGATGTGATTAAAGTGAATATTAGGAGAACATTCTTTTAAAAAGAGCTCTTTAAAAAGAGTATGAATTTATCTGCTAAAGAGATGCCAGAGTGGTGACCATAATTAACAATGTAGAGTTTTTGTTTCTTGATTGTGCATTCAGAATAGTTTACTAGGAAAGCTGATGCCATCGCCATACATGGTGTCTTCAGGATGCAACTAGATTTCACCTAAGTACTCGTAGTTCTTAACATATGGAGTTCCTATCAGTTCACCCTTCACAGTCCTATCAAACCAAGGCACAGCTGAACCAGAAATTCAATTGGAATATCACTATAAATTTTGAAGATAAAATCATTTTATTGTTCTGAGTAGAATCTGAAAATTCTGGTGTTACGAACCAGTTGACTAGATCCTAAATCTTCTGCAGAGGAAGATTTCATCTGCTCTGGCACTATTTCTGCATGTAGAGAGTAGAAGTTTCCAGGCTGCAGAAACTTGGAAAAAGAGGAAGAAGCAGGAAGCAAGAGGAAGGGGAGAGCCTGCTGTAGCTGTGGAATCAAGGGAGCAATGAGACAAGGACAGAGCAGAGAGGTGTGCTTTTATAGCAAGAGAAACTTCCAGGGATAGCAGGTACTTACATAATTGATTACAAAGTAAGAGCTATGTTATATGAAACCTGAATGCAAATTTACTGCGTGCAAAGACCTAGGCATCAAAGATGAAATTATTGCAATTCTCACCAACCTGATTTGGCAAAGTCACCTAGAAATAAAAAAATATGCTTAGTGTGGAGTCTGTAAAGAGCCAAGTATCAAAGTTGTTTATTGACCTAGTACTGATCATAGAAAGGTCTTGAATAAATATTTTAGTTAGACTTTCTGTGTTCAGTACAAAAACCTCTTTCTGCTGGGGAAAAAGAGGACATGGGGGGCTGAATAATAGTCACTAGCTAGTTCGTTGTTCATGCTGCAGTAGTGTTTAGCTAACAAGGAGAAAGAGTGTGTCCCGCTTACAGAAAACTTTTGATGAGCTAGACTCTGTCATTCCCAAGTGCCATTTATAACCCACTCTCTCTGTGTTGCTGTCACTGTCTGTCACTCTAAATATTTTAAACATATAACCTTTTATTGATGTGTGTTGTTCCTACTGTGCAACTTCAATAAGAAAATGTTGCAGTATACTGTAATAGTATTTTAATGCAGCTTTTTACAGTTTTACCCTCAATTTATAGAAAAGCAATGGAGATACTTGGATCAAAAATCTCTCTTTATCCCTTTTTTTCCCTATGATTTTCTTTACAGGTAGAAAAGTAGAACTGCAGTTTTTTGTAAAAGCTGTTGATCTTGCTTACTGCAGCTTCTGCCATGCTCTTGAAAATAAAGACCTCCTGATGTGGTTGGCCGAATACAGTGATAGTCTGTCTTTACAGTGATAGTCTGTCTTCCTTGCTAGTGTTTTTTGCAAGTGCTTTTTGCATGTGCTTTTCTGTATTTGTGCATATATACAAATGACAGTGAAAATCAAAAGTAGTCATCACTCAACAATTTCGAGTCTTTTGCTTAGAAAAGGTTGTAGTCCGTCCGTAGTGGTAGTACAGATGAAAATTAAGGTGCATAAAACAAGTGCAGGGGGAAAATGCTTGCATGTCACATTCCTGCATTGTAATAATTTCTGCAGTTCATTGATTGTGATGAAATTTAAATCAAGAACCTAATTTAAAGATAAAAAATTTTAAAGTGAAAAATACAAATTCTAACATCACAATAATTTGAATTAATTATCAGTTCTTTTGCACAGGTAACCATTAGATGGTTGCAAATTGGCATGAGCTGAAATAAAATTTAAATTCAATTTACAGAACAGCTTTTTTTGCATTGAGGGAGATTAAGAAGTAGTTGCCCAGAGACTTTTTGAAGTCTCCATTTTTGGGTATTCAAAACCTGACTGGATAGTGCTCTCAGCATCCTCCTGTATTGGGCCCTCAACGGAACAAAGAACCCGGACTGTCTGATCTTCAGAGGTCCTTTAAAAATTGTCATTCTATGAAGAAAAATATTTCATTTGATATTGGCACAATGATTTGAAAATTTTAGTTTCTTTTTTCTAGTGTTATCCCAGTAGGTATTTGTAGAATGAAATTAATGTTCATATCTAATAATATATGCTTATATACATTTCATGTCTTTGTCACTGAACAACTTGCTTGCAACTTGCATTGCTTGTCCAGCCAAAAAATCCAGGAAAAATACCAGGATTTATTACTTGAGCGAACTAAATTTTATAACACATGCAATATTTATTTGGCAGTACCTCTGTTTCAGATTTCATGTGCTTCCCATGGCTAAATAGAATGTTAAAATTCAAGTAGGGATTTTTTGTTCTAGTATTCATTTCCTTAACATATTTCTAGTGGGGTCTTAACGTAAGATGTCTGTTAATGTTCTTTTGTTATCACTGCTAATGAAAACATGGACTTTCTGAGGTCCTAAGTGATTTTTAAGCCATGTTCTTAGCATCAGTGAGTCCGTACTTTCCCTTTGTTTGTATCAAAAATCTACTGCCCATTAACTTTGACTCTGTTTCTTCTGAGTAGTTGTATATCTTAGAAGATTATATTCCTATAAATGTTTCTCTTTGCAGTGAGGAGCTACGGAAGGAAGCCCGACAGCTGAAACGAGAACTGCTGGAAGCAAAGCACAAAAAAGAAGAAAGAGCTTTAAGACCTAAAGAGAAAGAAGGTAAGAGGTTTTGTGTACATCTCCAGTTAACATTCTGGTTTGAAAGGGTTTTTTTGGTTTTGTGTTTTATAAATGTATATAAATGTGGAATATTGTTGAAATGTAGATATTTTTCTTTCCTTAGGGATGGTAGTAATGTAATGATGCCAGTATGTAAGGAAGTTGTATAGATAGCATTTTTTCTCAAATCATGTAGTATTTCTCCTTCTAAGTGTTCATTAGTTACATCCATACTGTGGCCTCTTGACTTGCAGGGTCTTTTTGACTTTCTGACTTGGAAAGGTTCTTAAATGCACATGGCTAACTTTGAACTCAAAGCTACTGACTTCAAATTTCATGTGTTATAAGATACTGATAGAACTCAAATTCACAAAGTTACTACCATATTTATTTTCCTTGATAAAATGGCATCTTCAACTGCCCTCCTCTTTGTCAGACCATTTTTATATTCTGTTTCTTTTTAAACGTGAATAAATTGCTATGTTTATAATAGCATGTAAAGTTCACATTTTAGTCCAGGAGGATGAAACACCCTTAATTAGCCAAACTGAAGAAACAAATAAGTGTCTTTAAACACTGTGGGGTTGCAAGACACACTTGTAGAGTGGATTCTTAGTTCAGTTCTCAATACCATAGAAATATGAAAGAAAATATTAAAATAGTTTTTTTCAAAATTCAGATAACACACAATTTGCAAGAGTGGTATAAAATATAACATAATTTTTAGAAAAATTTTTGCACTCTCTTCAATAACAGGTGAGCTTGGTCAGCATTTTGACAAAGTAAAAAAAAACATTATCATGAATTTGTATATGAAATCTGGCACCAAATGTTAAGAATTGCTGACTCTGAAAATGTTCTAGTAATCACTGGAATATAAGCTCTCACTGGCAAAATAATGAGTGCTGTCACTAGCCTTGTAAAAAAAGAACTGTGAGTAGGGTTATAGCAAAGGTAAAGTGTAGTCCTTTTGAACATATATGATAAATTATCTTGAATAGTGCCATGTATGGCAGTTCTTACACTATTGCTTTAACTTCTCCCTGTTCTGGTGCCAGTCGGTGGGCTTTGTTATTTGATGAAATTCACCTTTACAGTGACAGAATAAAGTAGTACTTGGACGATAGTTACTACTATGGTACAGTTTGGAAGGATACCTTCTATTCAAGCAAAGGGAGCTTATATACCAGGGTTGGTGGGGAGGCTTCTATTTTCTTTGAAATAAATAGCAGGCAGGACATAAATCAGTTGAAAATCTGCAGGTTACAGCTAATGGTACAAATAATCTTGAATAATCTTGGCTTTCCTTTTTGTGATAGGAAGGGGTCTGTACCAGTACATCCAGTTGAGAAAGATGGATGGCAGGAAAAAACCTATTGACCTAGTCAGTGGAGTACCTAACTAAAAAATCTTTAAAATAAACATGTTCTAAAATTTAAGGCAAAATTAAAAGGATGTTAAATGAGAGGCAAGCAGTAAAGGATAAAATTATTAATGAAAATGTAGTGAAAGATTTCAGGTTTGTACTAGAAAATGAACTGAACATGAATTTACACTCTGATGTGGTTGTCACTGTGTGGTTTTTGCTACAAGTGCAGTACCTGTGAAAGGGTGGTTGTACTATTGCACTCAGTTCCGAGTATTGTACCACCAAAAAGGATAATGAACAAGTCAATTAAAATGGAAAAGACCACACAAAACTAGCAGAACACTATTTGGACAAATTTATTAGAAGGTACTTGAAGATATGTGTAATTTATGTAGGGAGGGAGATAGAAGGGTGAAATCTCAAGTCAAAGGAATGAAGCATACCATTATTGTGAAACAGAATTTACAACTGAGGAATAACAGAATAGACTTTAGAAAAACTTTATCTTTAATATAATGAACTCTGACAGAAGTGTTGTACCAAATTTTGCCCCAAAGTTAAAAGCACTTAGTCATTTTATATTTATTGGCCTGAATTTTCATCAGTACAGTAGAGATATCAACATGGAAGACAGTTTGCTAAACATACAATAGTTTACCTGTTCTACATTAGTTTACATATGAGAAATTATACATGTTTTAAAAGTACTTCTATCAGGAAGTTGATGTTTAGGTAGCAGCCGATTTCTCCATTGTTCTCTGCCTATCCTATTGGGGAATTCGGGAACGCTGTATCAGGTGTGCCTGTGCAGATGGTGCAGACACTTGCATTGCGTCTGCCTATGCTTTAAGCTGGCTGCATTAGGAAGAAATGTTAGTTCACAGGCTGTGTAACCACATTAGTGTGATTCTGTGCTTGATTAATAAACATTACATCACAGCCAGAACTTGCAGCCATAGTGGGAGAATTTCACTGAAGATCACAGAACAGTGAGAATAAGGCTTAGGTCATACTGGACAAGATTGAGTTTTGTTCTGAGAGGATGCTAAGGAAGGGTCAGCAGCATGAAACATCTATTTCAAGTTTACTGCACAGATCTTTATTAATATTGGCATCATTTTTAGTATCACTTCTTCAAATTGTTCATATTATATTTACCTAATATTTTTCTTTATTTGGAAATTAGATTAATTAAGAAGGACTGGAGAGTGAAAATTTAAGTGTTTACATTGTTTCAAGAGGTCAGAGAAAAAAAATAATTCCCTCTGTACATGTTTGATTATAACCAGTCTTCCAATTGGTGAATAGTATTGTTGACTATGCCAGACTGCTGTCAAGACCTTACTTTAGATAAGATGTTTTTCTTTTATGTGACGTTTGTTGTAGTGATGCCAGAAATTACATCAAACACTATCATTTGAGAGCTGAATTAGTTCAACATTTTGAAGAACTTGGTCAAATATTCAAAAAAGATCTTTTTGAATTTTCAAAGTTCTGTAGAGTAAACCTGGGAATGTACTTCAGTGAAATCTGCTTCAGACAAACAGCATCTGTCCAGTTAATTATATGTTGGTTTTAAACAGTAGAAGTATTTAGAAAGTAATATTATAGTTTTTCTTGTTAGGACATTTTTGTAAATGGACAAATAATCTGTTGACTATGAAATTTAATTGTCATACATGAGAAAACAGAAATGCTATAAAATACTGTCTGAGTAGGGAAACCTTAAAACTAATGTGAAAACCAACATTCAAGGATAAGAGTTCTACTGAGGCATCTAGTGTTGAGGCATTTTCTGTTTGTTTTTTATTGTGATACGGTAATCAAATTATTAAAATGTTTAGAAAATTCTCAAAATCAAGTGCTCCAGTGTAACATTATGTTTTATTTATGTTTTATTTTAAAGTCTGGATAATGTCAGGGGCACTCAAAGAATTAAACCCTTTCTTACATGGAAAGATACTTTCTTGAAGTCTGGGACTTTAACAGGATTTTGAAAATAACAAAATCCGAATTTTGATGGTTTGGGAACTTTGCGGCATAAATGCATTAAGTCTGGAGGGTTTTTTTTCAGTATATACAGTAGAGCTGCATTGTATCAAAGTATTCATCTGTCATTTTTGCAAAACTTTGTTTTCTCCCACTGTTCACATTTGTTATTACATTTAATCTCCTAATACACAGAATCCCTGTGCAGTCCCCTTCCTGCTACTTTTTTCTGTTTGTCTCTCTGTCTGCAGAAGAAAAGAGGCCAAAACCTCGCTGTATACCAGCTTTGATTTTAGTAATAATCTTGAGCAAGTACTCAAAATCCACCAACATTTGAAAATTAACTGTATTTTAGACTAGGACCGTGTGCCTGCCAAGGTTCAGAAAGCATTTACTAGAAACTGGTAGTTCACACTGTTTTGCAAATCTGCTCTGGTCTTTCAGATAAGTGTTTTGAACCTCTAGGAATTACTTGTAAGATTTTAGTGTTTGAGTTCACTGATGAACTAGTAACTTTGTTCTAGAACTGTTGCTTTGTTCACTGTAGCAAACTGAAAATCTAGTAATCAGCCCAACCATGGAAGCTCATTCTGTAAGCAAATCTATTCAATTGTTCACAGTTGCTAAATATTTCCTGACTCTTACCTAACTTCTGGCAAACAGTGGCTCTTTAGAATCTTAGGCAGGCCAGAGCTATAGCGACATTAACTAAACAGTTCTTGAAGAGGCAAAGAAAACCTAAGTAGAAAACAAGTAGAGCTGGTCCTAAATACAGGAGAGTATGTTACCAATTCTCTCAAGCATAAAATTATTTCATATTGTTCTTCTGGTATATTTATTTTTACACTACTTTACACTGAACTGTATTTTAAGTTTCAGATACGTAATATTTAAAGCTGTAATAATTTTTTTTCCTAATTCTGGAAGAAGTGAGTTATTTGTTTCGGTTATTAATAATCCAAAGTGTCTCTAAGTTCTGTATTTGTAACTTCTGATAGGAATTCTATTTTAATTCCTGAAATATTATGGCATATTGGAATTTCTTTTATAATTTGTGAGGATTTTATTTGGTTTGGAGGAAAAACAACTTCTTTTTTTAAGATCTCAGTCTCAGTAAGATTTTTAAATGACTACAGCATACCCTTACAATTCCAAAAGAATGCAATATAAACTGGATATTGATGAGCTGAAAGCGGAATATACTGAAGTAATACAGGAAAGTGTTTTAGGTCTCTTATTTTAATTCACCAAAACATTCAATCATAATTACTTTCTCTTCAAACAAAAAGTTTTTGAGGATTTTTTGATCCTTTGGTATTTAGTCTAGCTATGCCATGCATTTTTTGGAATTTCTGTCCAGCAGGTATTTTATCATATGAAATGTGTCATCTGAGTTGCTAAAGAGTACATTTTGGATACTGAGGAAAATTTATGGGCCTATTACATTTCAAATATACACAAACCCTGCTAAATAAACTGGGATGCATTTTTATATGCACATCTTCGTACATTTTTCTTGTTATCTTACCTCAGTTCTGCATAAAGTCATGATTACATATGAAAATTTCATTACAATAGTTAATGGGAATGCTTTAGCATATCCAGAATGTTTTGTAATGTTAAATACATAAGTGTGTGTAAATATCTTCATGCTGGCTGTATCTCATCAAAGAAAAATCATAAGTCTTCCATTGATCCTTTTCAATTCTATAGGCTCTTGGTTTTTTATGGTTACATTAAATCTTCAGAATCAGGATGTTTTTGTCTGTCACAATATGTATTTTTTTTCTACCCTTCATGTGTGTTTCTGGTAATACTTTCACCAAATCAAGTTTGCTTCATTTTCTAACAAGTGTTTTATGCACAGCTTCATTTTCTCTTTCTTAAAAGGAAATAAAATCTGTACAGTTTCATACAGATTCTAAGTACAAGAACAGTAATTACTACAAGGTGGTTTGCTTAATAGAGTTTGTACTGTGGAAAATTGCATACATACTCTCAGATCTGCATTTGTGTCAAATTGTACCCTATCTGTGCCACAATTGGTGGACTTGTTATGGCAAAGTTACACTACCTGCAGTGCTAGGAATGGAGCCCAGTCTTCACGAGCAATACCAATGTGAGCATAAGCAGTGATCATGCTGTTCTGATCTACCACAGGCAGCTGAATTAGGATTCATATTTCTTGGTTTCATTTAGTGGAGGATAAAATTGCTGTTTTGAAAATGCAATACTTCTGATACATTTTTTGTTGAGTGTTTGTTATGCTGTTAAATGTAGCAGATGCTTTAGGAATTAAGCTTAAAATTACCAAGCTTTCTTTTTTTCTGCTTCACTTCTTATTAGGAACTGATCATTCCTAAACTATCCACTCACTTCAGTTCAATGCCATTGGATCAAGTTTTGCCTTTGTTGTACTTCCTCCATTTGTTAGTTAAAAATGGACATCATTTGAACTGTTCTTGTTTTAAGTGTGAGCAAAATAAGGTATTTCATTTTTTTTTTAATCAGTATCTTCCTTTCTGCTTTAAAGACTTTTGAGTTTCCCTCTTAGTTTCAGACTATCACTGTAAACCATGTCCCAAACCCAAAGTTTAAGTTAGATTACATCATTATGTTGGCATGTACTGGCCATAATTTCTGGATAGAAGAATCTGTCTGAAAGAAATTATTTTGAGACAGTAAGATGAAGACTTTCTTGGTGGTAACAAGCTAGCTTACATAAATAGCTAATTACTTATAAATTCTTTTGAATGTAGGATGAAATGTATTTTCAATAAGGAACATGATCTGTTTTCTTTTTTTTTCCCTCACCTTCCTTCCTGAGGAAATATGTACAACAGCTTGTTCAAACTAAAGAAGAAATTATTTTATTCGTGCTATTTACACTTTGTGGTGAGATCCCACTAGGGAACAAGATTCCTGTAACTTAAATTATCTTCTGCACCTTGTGGTACCTAAATTGAATTTAATTGTTCTTTTACTTTTGTGTATCCATGCCATTTTTCATTAATTTTTGTCTAAATAAATCCTCTTAGATTAGGGAGATTAATATCAAAGTCACGATCCTTGTATTTTTGCTGAATGAGCAAGCTGGACGTAAATTTGTCAAGCTTGATATGAATGTCAAGTCCATCATACAGTGCTGTTGTTCCTCTTATTTTCAATTCAGCTGCAAAACACTTGTAGGGAGTCTAGGTTGCAAACTGGGAGATATGAAGTAGTAGACAGCAATCTACTCTTACATTTAAAAAGGTTTCTTCTTACCACGTCGCTCTCTTCTGGACTTTTTTCCTTGGTTGCTAGTTACCAGTCAGACACAAAGTTTGTCAAATAATTCCTGCTTATCAAAAGCTGAATATATAATTTCTGTTAAAAAGCACTCTGTAGTTTTATAATCATTGGAGTTTTCAAGTTTTAAAATATTAATAACTGATTGGCTTAGAGGCTCTTGAAAGTTCTTCCTGTTTTGTTGCTTGCTTTAAATGGTGTGTGATAGGTTGTAGGACTTAATGAAGAAATACAAGCATATTTTGAAGTAATTTTAATGAAAGTTGGAAAACTATGATGTGTACAAGGGCACAGCTCTTTTGGTTGAGTCACTCTGAAGTTAGTTCAAGTAGATCTGATTATCTTTTGTCTGAGTTATGAAAAGGCTTTCCTAGGAGGCAGAGAGCATGAAGTTGAGGATTAGAAAGCCTCTGACAGGCAAAGACCCAAGAAACAATAATACCAAAAGAAGGCTTTAACTGAAATTTAAATTACTTGTATTAACAGTAAGTGGCACACATAGGAGTGTGATAAAAACACACAAACACCCAGCTTCAGGGGAATTTCACCCATTTTGTATAAGAATTGTATTTGAGCTGCACTACATTAAGTTAAATTTTAGTCAAAAGATCTATATGACTAAGGACCACACCTTTAAATTCAGAATATGTATGTGTGGATTTAAGGTCTAAATGTTTGTGGCCAGTTTGTGGCTGGCATTTTCAAACATGCTCAAGAACGCTCTTCTCAGTTCTTTTGCTTATCATAGATGGGCAATTATATTCATCATGGGGTAAATGTGCTTCCCTTCAAAGCACTCAGTTAGCTCAATGTCACCTGAAAGGTTGTTTTTTATACAGAAGCTGATGGATTTTTACTTCAATTTATTTATTTAGGCGCTAAATGTTAGTAAAAGAAGATATTATGTTGTTTCCAGGTAGTCAACCTGATAGCAACAAATTCATTTAGATTTGCAGTTCACCAGGCCATAAATCCTGAAATTTCTTGAAACAGTTTTCTCCAAAAATGTTTTCATTTGCAGATGTTCATCATTTGCAATGAACTTCCAGGAGGTTTAATCTTCTGTTTGTTACCAGGAATAGCAATTCTGTAAATATGAGTTCATAAATTTTAAGTATACTAAATCAGCATGTACAATGTCTTAATGCTGTTCAAGAAGAAATTAGGGTGAAAGTATGATATTGATCAATTTTCCAGTTCAGATTTTGTCCCATTAAACTACTAATGAATAATTTATTAATTAATAATTTAATGGGACAGTGCATCCTCTGCAGTGCAGACACTGTTAAAAAGATAAAAGTAGCTCTTGACTCATCCATATATCACTTTATAAGAAATACTTTTATTCCTGAAGAGTTATATAAAAAAGAGCTTATTCCTTATTAACAACATGGACTCTGTTAAGAATTTAAATGTTACTGAGTTTTTTCCGTATTGCAAAATCAAGGACTTGATTTGTGTCTACTTCAGCCTACAAAAGAGGAAAACTATGACATTTTTTATAAATTGTATTTGTTTACTTTTGAACAAATAGTCACAGAATATTAATACACATAGCATTTCAACTGCTACAAGATCTTCAGAAATTAAGGTCATCTGGTTAAAGGAATTTCAACAGTTTTCATCAGTGGTTTTACGTCTGTTATCCTGCTTTCTCTGGCTCCATAGTAAAATATAATTGAAACAAAAATCTTTTGACTCATTCTCTGCCCAGTGCAGTGTTGTGTTTTTCATTTCAGCAAGTAGCAAATCATTCTACTGCTGAAAAAGCAGTACAACTGAAATGTTTTATGGGAGTGTTTTGCTTGGTATTTTATCTCCAAAAAGACACTAAATCATAGAACCAACCTAAATTTGTTTAACCAAATATGTTTCCTTATTCAGAGGAGGAACCTGCTCCAAACAGTGTTGTTGAAGAATACCTTCAAGAGAAGAGAAAATATGAAGACAAGCGAAAGCAGCAGCCAAAGAAAGGAGTTTCCCGTGAAGATCAGGTAATGATAGCCTGGGCAACAAAAATCCAGAAAATTACTTATGTTCATTTTTTAATATGTTTATCTCTTCATTTGTATAAAAGCAGAGTTTAAAAATCTGTCATTTCATTTTCTATTAGAAGAGAGTTATTATTTATAAAAATAGGTATTTTTATTACCCAGGTAGACAGGCAAATGAATTTTCACTGTGTGTTTGAAAGGGCTCCCAGTTTAGTTGCTAAAATCTTCTGAAAGGAAATGCTAGTCATGAAGAGGTGTCCTTGATTACATTTTTAAGAATTCTCATTTCTTCACCTTTTGCTTTCCTTGCTATAAGATAACACTGGGACAGAAGTTTACATATTTGGCATTTGGTTTTTAACATTTTAAATTACAGTTTAAAAATATTAAATTCATCAATACTTCTTGTTGTGAAATGAACGAAATGGTTTATAAGCACTGTAAAAACAGATGCTGTTTTAAATACAATTATTATTCAAAATCAGTTAGCATGTCTGTAGGCTCTAGTAAGCAAATATGAGCAAAGTAAGGTTTGCTTTATAAAGGCATTTGTTTTTACTAAAATAGGAAAGTCTGAAATGGCTAAATATATGAAACTGCCTATGAAATGGAGATACCATCAACATAAAATCTGTGCTGTACATCAAACACAAGGTTTGTAAGTGCATGTCAGTTCAGCTACAAAGATGTTCCTGTTCACGTGTTGAATCTAGAAGAGATTGGAAACTTGAGGCTTAGTAAGTTCAAAGCAGCATTTGGCAAACCTTTATATATGCAGCAAGCTGATATAGCCCTAAACTAAAAAGTTTATGGAAACTTTGTATATTCAAAATCCCATTATCTTTGAATCAAAGAGTACTAAAGCTCTGTTGGCAGTGTAGATCAAGGGACTTAAAACCATGTCTAATGAATTTATATCAGCCCTGTCCTGGACATCACTGGAAAACAAGATGAGATTATAGGGATATGTATTCTAAGAGATCTTAATTTTTATTTATGTAACTCTGCTGGCAACAATTCAACAATAATTAATCAAGTTCTTTGTAATCCATTTCACTTGTGGAGAACCTCTTCTTGTCTCACACCCAGTTGTAACTTATCCTACAGTACAATAGCATTTTCCATCCTCAGTGCAATAATTAAGGAAGAGGGAGAAAAGGTATCTTTCTCTAAAATACTAGATAATAGCCCTCCTATTCAGCCAGGGTCAAATTATAAAGTTATTCAAAGCACAGTATAGCATCTAGTGACTCATTGCAAAACATGCCTACTAAGATATTTCAAAATTATTCCTGTCATCAGGTCTATTCACAGGAATGCTGTCACCAGAGAAAATTAGACAAGACACAAGGAATGTGGCTTTTTTTTTGGTCACAGTTTCATATTAAAAGGGTCAGTTTAAGTTTGTTTCTTTCTGATGACCTCAGCAAAGATTTGCTGTCTCAGGTGTTGCAAGTACAGTGTTTGTTTACAATAGTATGGAAAGCTATAGAACTAGAATGATTCTAGTTCTAGCAGGCCCAAATATCCTCAAAACTTTCCACTTTCTCACCTTAAACAGAAGAATAGACAAAAAAATAAAGAAAGTAAATGCAAAAAAAGTCCTCCAAAATCTGCCCTTGGCAGTGCAAAAATATGTTTTTGAAAGAATTCAAAAGCCAGGAAACTCCTCAAGTTAAGATTGCTCCCAGAAGGAAATTTGATTCCAGTGAACACTTCTGGTATTTCCTATTTCTGTTTTCTATTCTTGTTTAGTTTTTATTCTTTTAAATTTGAAAAACTTGACCAAACAAAACTACACAGCCATACAGAGGTGTTTTACAACATAGGTTGCCAACCTATCACCTACAAATCAAATGTAGCCTGCCACATAAATTCAGTTAGGCACTTACTCCCTGATGCTTTCCTTTTCAGGAATGTCTCAAATATCAGAAAAAAAAAAAAAAAAAAGCTGTGGGCTGTGCAAATTATTCATAAGCTCTTTGCCTTTTTTTGAAGAGCCCCCCCCGTACCATCACAAGGCTCAGACATATGACTTGTATAATCAAACTCCCATTTGAGATGATCAGAAACAAGAACTATGGTATGACCTTCAGGTGTCATCTGAGATTTGGTGACTTCATTGTCCCTGAAAGATCAGGCAATGTCCGTTTGAGAATAAAACAGCAGACTGAAATGAGTATGAGCTTTATATATACAGCATAAGAAACTGTATCTGCAGAATTATTTAAGCTGGTTCATTTTTTTAGAGAAAAACATTGAGTTTTTTCAATGTCCACACATAATTTAAAAGATCATCAACAGAAAGTATATAAGTATCAGTTAAACTGGGTCTTCAAGGCCTGAATGGTTTGTAATTTATACAGTAGATTACTTTAAAATAGGACAGTAGCATATCCAAAAAGTAAAATTCATTGTTGGCAGTGTTATTTAATCAGCTGTTTTATTCTCTAGGTAGCTACAAGTATTTGTTCCTTAAATATTCCTTTTCATTTCACTAGATGGTGAGAGAAGTATTTTTTCACGCCTGACAGGCACCTCCCTGCTTCTCTTGTTGCCTCAGCATTGCCTGCCCACTCACTCATCAGTGCTTTCCTTGCAGTCCCGCTCTCGCACCCGCCATCACCTCTTGCTCTCTCACTTGCCTCTCTAAAGTGTTTCTTCCAAATTCATAGGAAACATCACTCTCATTGTACTTCTCCTCAAAATAATAAAAATGTTGTATATGCCTGTTGGTGTGTAGAAATATACAATTTCTCTAAAACCATGTGTTTAATTTCAGACACTGGCCTTGTTAGACCGATTTAAAACAAAGTTAACCCAGGCAATTGAAGAAACTCCTGAAAATGAGCTGTCTGAACCTGACGGAGATAATGACGAAGGATGGTGAGTTTTTTTCCTTTGGGGTTCTGTTTTTACCAATACAAGTCCTGCTGTAACATAGTGACACTGGTCTGCATAAATTTGAGTAGCAGAAAACACTGAATGTGAAGGCAGCTGCTCCATTAGGAGTCAGCTAAAAGGTACTGGTTTAGCACTCTGAAAAATATGTCATGAGAGCTGATGACATTTAGCATTCTCTAGTTTTAAATCTTTCTAAAACTGTGTGTTGAGCGTGGTAAGTGTTTGTAAATGATGGATGAGATTGAGATAGTCTGACTCATCTGAAGTGTAGGGTGACCCTAAGGCAGTGGGATATTACTGAAGTAGATAAAGCACTGCAGAAGTTACTGCCTTAATGTCTCCCAGTTGAGGACTCAGTTTGTACCCTGTTGTCTCATATTCATCTTTGATACAAACTACCCACCTTAGGTATTCAAAGGGATAAAAATCAATGATTTGAAGTGTGATCTTAAAGCTCTAGGCTGCATGCAGTTAAATGCTCATAAAAGTAGACATAATGCAAAAATGCATAAAATACCTGGAAAAAAGAAAAGAAATCCTAGCAAAAAAGTTTTGTAAGGGTCTGTCTATCTCCGTTTATAAGGCAAACACTACAGCTGGTCCAACAAAATAGGCTGTCTCTGCCTACAGTTTTTTTTTCATAGTTGTGTGCATAAGCCATTTGAGCTACAGCAAAATTACGATAAAATAGAAACTTTAACAAAGTTCTTGGCAAATATTTTAAGACAGCCGGCATTTCTGTATATCAGATGATTTAAAAATACTTTGTTGCTTCTTCAAACAGTGTTTTCTTCCTTCATTACGTCTTTTCCTACCTCAGGCTCTTTGAGGATGAGAGACGACATACAATATAAATTTCAAGATCCTTGGATTTCACTGGTATTTTGAGATCCTTCTGAGCTACCAAAGTGCTTTTATGTCCTCCAAGAATTATAGAGCAATTATTTCATTTGGAAGGGACCTACAATCATCATCTGTCCAGCTGCCTGACAGCTTCAGGGCTGGCCAAAAGCTGTGTTGTTAAGGGCATTGTCCAGTTGCCTCTTGAACGCTGACAGGCTGGGGGCATTGATCTCCTTTCTAGGAAGCCTGGTCCAGTGTTTGACTGCCCTCTTGGTAAAGAAATACTTCCAAATATCTGGTCTAAACCTCCCATGTCCACTATATGATTCTTTTATCTGGCCTTTTTATGAGCATTTTGTGAACTTGATCTTCATGTCAAATATTTTCTTGTCACAGTAATTTGACCATTCTTTTAAATACCTTTATAGAGTTCAAACATATCTTTCCTATTTCTTTCTGAGTAACTACTGATACCTAATCACCAGCAATGCTATCCACTATCAGTCCTACTGAATTAAGAAGTGCTGTAATTTATGATTATGTTATGAAGTTCTATTTTTGTTCAGAAAACAATACTACATTCAGAAATTTAACTAAAACTTAAAATAATATGAAACTACATAATAGATTAATAATTAATATCATTAATTTTGCAGCTCAGCAGTAAGTGTTCATGTTAACTTTACAGATAGATGAGGCACTCTGTTTTCAAATAATTTACTTTGAGGCCAAGTAAATTGTGAAGTGTATGTTGCACACGTTGGCTGTAGACAACATTAACAAAGCAATGAAATCTTCTGAAAGCTATGAATTATTGTGCAAAGCACTGGGAAAGTTAAATTGCATATCTTGGATTAAGTGTTTACATTTTCAGTACCTTTGTTTTATAGGAATATTTGAGATAACTATAGTGACTTTACATTTTAAAATTCTTTTTTAATTTGAATCTACTTCTCAAAAGACAGTAACTTCACTTTATTTGATTTTTATGAAATACAGTTAGTGTATGGCTTGTGCATGTATGGTACACACAAACAACGTGCTTCCTCCAGGCCATTTTGTAGGTCATGGTTGCTGTTTTTATGGGAAGGGAAAGCCTGCCAGTATGCTTTGCTCTACTGTCAGGGTATGTTATCTGAAGTAAAATGATTGCCTCTAAGACATTTTTATGTGTCCATGAGTGGCCACACATTGAGGTATAATTTTCATTCTCTGTCAAGATAGAAACCATTACCAATTTGTTATGTTTTCTTTTGTTTGGCAAACTTCTCTCTGCATATTTGGCTGAGCTGCTGTATTGGCATGGCACATAGCAGACATTTGGGCACTTTTCAGCAGCATTCTACTTTTTATGCAATAAAAAAAGAAGAAATATGACTCTATTGTAAACAGTGTGTATGGTGTTTGATAATTATTACCAGACTTTACTGTCTAAGAACACATCTGAGGAAATGTAAAGAGTGCCGAAGAGAAATGCATAGGACTAAATTTTAATGTGGGATATCAGAATCTTGCATGAGACCTTTTATTGCAACCTCTACTGCTCTGTGAGAATGATTATTTGTATTTGTCTGCAGCAATCAAAATCCAATTCCCCTTACAGAATTCAAAAATACCATCATAAACATGGTATCTGCTCAAAGAAGGAATCAAAGAATAAAAATGTCTGACAGTAAGTAAGTGGACACAATTTTACAGCATCTGGGTACCTTAGAAAGGCATTCTTGATCTGAGTTCTTCCAGCCATTATTTTCCTTCTGGCTTCATGTTGACAACTAGTGCTTGTGCTTTTCTCTTAATGATTTGTTAGATATTCTCAGTACTATTTGATCACTAGTGGTTCATTATTTGCTTACAATCCAAGTAAGAAGGACTCAGATGCATTACTATATTCTTATTTCTTAAACATTGTATAAAGTGCTGCAGAGGTAGGTAGAGATTATCTGTCAGAACTCAGTTGCATTCTTGGCTTAGAGTCTTAACCAAGAAGACTTTTCCCAAAAATGTAGGTGAGGTGAATCACGGTGACAATGAGGTGTCACTTGCTTAGAGACTAATATTATGAAAACCAAATATGTCACAACAGAAGACCCAGCTGGAATCTGCTTGATACTTGCCACTTTGATTACTTGATAGGCCTGAATTTGAGTAAGAAAATGCTGCACAGGCTACACTTATTCAGAACTCTGCTGCTACTCATCTTGTGTAGGACTTACTGTAACGCATATAGTTGCATGCATGTGATACTCATTCAGGTAGTAGTGACACTTCAGAGTTCTGATGATAATAACAAATAGTTGCAATTGTAGTCAAACACAGCTTTCATTCCAGAAGGATGTTACAGCAATTGCAGATAATGAAACTAATGATGGAGATCCTGTGAACGTGACAAAATATTTTTCATAGAAAGAATCCAGCAATGGGATAAAAAATTCTGATGCAGTCAAGTACATTCAAAAATTGTTTTACTTAATCTGTGCAAAATATTCCTTTTCAAATAGGATAAGAGTGATACTTGGTACTGTAAAGCACCCTTCCATCAAGTAATTCTGAGAGTTCCAAGTGCTTCTTTCAAGATGTGAAATCTGAGACTAAATACAGCACTCAGCTAAGTCTGTCTGTGTTGAGTGGAAGGATTACTTTTTTGTTGCTGTTTTTTTAATACCTGGTTTTCATTCCTTTCTAAGCCTTTCTTACTGAATGGTTGCCTAACTTAGTTCTGTCCTGTTCTCCTACTGTTGATCACTCTTATTGGAATTTAGCCATTGCTCTTTTTAAATTGTATCCCACTTTTCAAACTGCTACTCTTTTTTTCCAAAATCACATGAATTCTGAATACTCCAATAAACATTCAAAACTTCACATTATACATATGTTTTGTAATTATATTCTTCTCCAGTATAGTCATAAGTGGAAATGAACTAACCAACCATTACCATATTAAGGTTTTCACTTTGACATTAAACTATGGCTGTTTATTCCTAAAAACAGGGCTCTCCAGCTGAATTTTTAGGAATCTTACATGCTTGTGAAATGTGAGAAATATATCTTAACTTTCCTGTGTGGAATATTGGTTTTTGTGGAAGGAACAGATTCTCTGCTATAAAAATACATGTCATGTCCTTAACTAAAATCTGGACTTAACTCTTCTCCCTCTGATCTTTTAAAACAAGTGGAGGCTTCCTGAAACTACACTATTTACTGGAATACTGAAGTATATCTAGTGCTGTGACAACTTTTGAGTTGGTGGAATTTTCTGTGGTAATGAAGCCACCACACTGCTTTTTGAAAACTCAGCTGGTTGCCAAGTCAGTTTAGCATATATCTATATAGGATCTCCATACATTGTCACAGAAAAAATGCACAAAAATGTTCAGGAATCAACTTTAGTATTCCTCAACATTCTTGAACTTAAAATGTAATTGTCTGTGTCAAGTAGCTGAAAAGTCAAAATGATCCTCACTCCATACCACTAAAATACCACACATTGCACACAAAACCAGTCAAGTTTACAGAACTTCATAATACCTGGAAGACACATGGGTTGGGAAATCATGATGGGTAATTTTTTGTATTGATTGAAAACACATCCCTATTCATTCACTGCTTGGGTCTGATGCTCTTCAGAATCTTCATCAGTGACAGAGGCAGTGGGACAGAGTGCACCCTCAGTACATCTGCAGTGACAGGAGGCTGAGCAGTGCAGGTGGCACTGCAGAAAGATGGGATGAACATCCAGAGGCACCAGGACAGCCTTGAGAAGTAGGTTCTTGTGAACCTCATAAAGTTCAACAAGACCAAGGTGATGCACCTGGGCCAGGGCAATCCCAGACAAGGTCAGAGACTGGGGACAACCCTGCCCAGAAGGGCTTGGGGGTGCTGGTGGCTGAGAGGCTGGACATGCCCCAGCCATGGGCACTGCCAGCCCAGACAGCCACACGTGTCCTGGGCTGCATCCAGAGCAGGGTGGGCAGCAGGGCAGGGAGGGGATTCTGCCCCTCTGCTCTGCTCTGCTGAGACCCCACCTGCAGGGCTGCATCAGCCCTGGGGGCACAGCACAGGAAGGACAGGGACTCTTATGAGCTGGTCCAGAGAAGGAATGCAAAAATGATATCTCTCCTTTGAGAAAAGGCTGAGAA